AAAGAAAGAAAGAAAGAAAGAAAGAAAGAAAGAAAGAAAAAGCCTTTTAAAATGTGGTTTCTGACTATCAAACATTGTAAATATACCAGTAATTATATTACTTTTAATCTCTTATCTTTGTTTTATCTATTTTACTATTATTTCTAATTTATTTCTTGCCTGCCCTGGTTTCTCCTACTTCTTTACAACTCCCGTCTGTGCCAGGAAAGCGAGGGCCGACTCTTTTCCTTTCTATGGGTGGGTCTACAAAGACAGGGGGGGTCGCCTCTGTGTGAACAAAGATCCCAGACATTCCACGGCAGTTGAAAGGTTCGTGCGGATCACTGCAAATTCTTGTGCACATTTTTTTTTTTTAATGGCCAATTCGTGCGAATACAGAACGCAGCAGATGCAGAAGTAACACTGGCTGGGCTTAAGCTGAGTCCTCTGTTCCAAGGCTAAGCATCCTTCAGAGACACGGGGACAGTCTGGCTCTTTTGGGAGGGAACTGGGATATTACATCATTCTTGTTTGTGAAATAAAAAGCAGGACGCAAAGTTGCAAGGGTTTAAACATTAAAAGGATATATGGAATTAATATTTAAGGCATATAATATTAATATTTAATATCCGTGGGAAGGATATGGCTGCAGCCTCGTTTTCTGGCCACGAGAACACCCCAGATTGTGCTGTGGAACCTTGGCAGTGACACTGCTAATCTTCCACAGCAGTTTTTCATTATTGTCACTAAAATAAGCACCAAACTCTTCAACACTGCTGATGTTTTGGGAACACAGGGCATTAGCATCACTCCCCCAAATCCCACCCCCAAAAAGCCAGAATATTTCTCCCCCCTTACCTCCCCCCGTGTTTTCACCACATTAATAAAGGTAGTCCTCGTTTAGCAACCACAATTGGGACCTGCAACTCAGTCATTAAGTGAAGCGGTCACTAAGTGAAACCACGACTGTGCTTACAACCTTACTTCAGCTTTCCTTTGCTTTATAGACCTGCAAAGGTCATAAATGTGAGGACTGGTCACAAAGTTATTTTTTCATCACTGTTGTAACTGCGAACAGTCGCTAAACAAGGACTACCTGTAGACGTAACTCCTATATCACCAGAGTCCACATATAAATGCACATATAAAGGGTACCACTCCCCCTACATTACAGGATGACAAAACAGTTATTTTAATCTGTCCTCGCAAATTTTCCTAGTAGCAATATGAAACAGAAACCAGAAACAGCCAATGTGCTTTTGAGATGGAAAACACTGTGAGGGAGAGATAACTTGGTCTCAGGAAGAAGCGTTATAGGAAGAAGAGAAAAAGTCACAAGGGAGGCTATTGGGCTGCAACTGACCTGTAACAGCCTCCACCGATATGGGCCCAAGACGCTTGCGATGGGAGACCCCATAAAGGTTGAACTTGTATCGGTGCGAAGGGACCAAGTCGTGGAACCGGAGCAACCGCAAACCTCCATCTACAGGCAACGCATGGGATTTGCCTTCTGCGTCCCGGTACTGGATAATAAAGGAGTCAAAATTCCCAGATTCCACAGTCCAGGACAGAAGAAGGGATTCCGATGTGATGTTATGAGCTGACAATATTCCAAGCTTAAGTGGTTGGGTGCCCTGGCCTGCAAGAGAGGAGGAAGACCGTCTGGACTGAAAATATTATGGTGACACTTTTCCTGTGAAAGGTTGCACGAGGGAATACTGTAGGACTGTTGTTTGGGATTTGGGTGTGCTAATTTTGTTATTTTTTTTAATCTGTTTATACAGAAAACATAGCAGAAAGGAATAAAACAACTGGAAAAGTGAAGTGACGGGACCCAGACAGCAGATTTATGCAAATTTTCTTTAAAAAAACAACAGCTGTGCCTGCACTTTAAACTTCAATTTTTAAAAAGTTAGGCTGTGAGACATATGGATTTTCATTAACACGGGAAGTAAATGAACAATATTATATTCTAAATGCATCCAGTGAGATTAAGGCTGCTTGCTTTCAAGAATGAGGTTCCTAGTGCTATCAAACTGAAGGCATTACACAGCCAGTTTCTTTCATAAGTTTGTCTCTTTCAAATGATGTAATTCTACATCATCTATATCAACCTGAATTCTATTTCTATATCCTTTCTATCAATATCAGCCCTATATCATCTCTCTTTTTTTTTTAGTGCCTTCGAGGTGATTGCCTGGACTAGTCCCTGAAGTTTTTAGGCAAGATTTTTGGAAGTAGTTTGCCCTGGCCTTCTTCCTAGGGCTGAGAGAGAGGGACTGGCCCAAAGTCACATCTTCCAGTCTCTAGCCTGGTGCCTTAACCCAGTGTTTCTCAACCTTGGCAACTTTAAGACATGTGGACTTCAACTCCCAGAGTTCCCCAGCCCACATGTCTTAAAGTTGCCAAGGTTGAGAAACACTGCCTTAACTCCTACCCCAAAGTGGCTCCCGTATCATTTATATCTATTGAAATCAGCCAGCAGCAAATAATGAACGTGCTGAAAATGAGGACTGAAAATCATTCTGCTGCTCTGATCTGGCTTTGAAACTGGAGCAAAATCCTCTTGTGGAAATCCTCTGGGTTATTCCAAGAGGAACAAATCCAAGTTTCTGATTGTTACACTTCAGTTTATCCTGGTCCTACCACGGCATGGATCTGTGGGCAAGGCACCAACGTGGGTGGGAACTAAATGTTTGGGAGCCCCTTTTCCCATTACGCAGGCACTTAAAACATGATTAATAGGCTAAGCGAGGAGAGGCAGATAATAGAATTACTTCTGTCTCCTTCTCTTAGACCCTCTGGAACCCCATTCTCCTCAAGATTCGTATGTCCTCCACCCTGGTCCTATTTAAACAAGCTCTTAAGAACTGTCTTTATCCCCACAGGTATCCTTGGGTTAGTGTGGGTGTGAGGAACCCCTTGTATGATGTTCTGGTTGTTTGAATGATTTCTCCTCCCCACCCCAGACTTTTGATGCTTTCTGTCCTTTAAAGTATTTTACTATGGTATTGTAGAAGTCCCAATTGTAACAGACTGGGCTGGCCTCTAATTTCCATAAAACAAACAAACAAATAAAAATAAATAAATAAACAAACTCTATGCCGTTGCAAAGTCCCGAAAGCCCAGTTTCCCTCTGACCTGTCACGGCGTTAGTAGAAATGGGACCAAGGCGTTTGCGCCCATTCAGGCCATAAAGGTTGAACTTGTATCTGTGAGAGGGAGCCAGGTTGGGGATGACGATGTCGCGTGAGGTGCCGTTCAGGGGCAGCACTTGGGGCCTGCCCTCTGCGTCCTTGTACTGGAGCAAGAAAGAATCAAACTTTCCAGCAGCCACGGTCCAGAACAAAGCCACTGAGTCATTTGTAACCCGAGAGACGGTGAGGTCTCCTAGCTGGGGCTGAACAGTCTCTTCTCTTTCAGATACTTCTGCAGTTGAAGAAGAGAAGGATAAAGAAGAAAACAGATGCTTGCAAACTGCAAACTACATAAACGTTGAGATTTGTCATAGCCTCTCAACTGGAGTGCATCAGGGCAGGAGGCCAACTTGCCAGAGAGAACTGGGAGCAGAAAAAGCTGGAGAAGAGGCAGAATTAAATCCTACAGTTCCAGGATCTGAGAAATAGGGAACCTGCAGTGACTTGAAGGGATAAATGCTGTGGGTTTTAGAACAGATTTTCCCAACCTGGTGCCTTTGGTGGGACTGCAACCTTCACCATCCCCAGCCAGCGTGGCAATGAGGCATGTTGGCTGGGGATGATGGGAGTTTTTGCTTAACGCATCCAGAAGCTGCATCAGAAAAGGTGGTTTTCAGTCCATGCTCAGGAGATACATCTTTGGAGTCCTCAATGAAGGGTTGCAATGAAGAAGCGTCCCCAGAGGACAGCTTGTCTGCTTCTACAGACCAGCGGAAAGAATTTGGAAGACACACCATGGAGCTGCGTACACCGTGGGCTAAAGGGCCAATAGGACTGACGTACATCCTGTGTGAACAGACAGTAGCCACCATGGAGCTAAACCGGGTTGCAGGAAGGAGAACTGTTTTGCAAAAAGCATTTACTGGAACCAAACGCCTTTCCTCAGTGGTGAAACCAACAGAAAAATTGTTCAGTGATGCCTGACTGGCTGGACTCACTCACTTGATTAAAATATAAAACTTGCAGATTCCCTCGCCCTCAATATACATCTTGTGGGCAAAACGATAAGGCCGCGCAGCAATCTGGACTGGAAGAGGAAAAGGTGAACTGGACTTTGTGGGGTTGTTCACAAATCACACCAGCACTCCTCAAAGAAATGGTGTCTTTTCCTGGACTCAGGGCACATTTGAAGCCGACGGCTGCCCAGCCTTACCGTGTGGCCCTGCGTAAGTACACTGTAGAGAGGTCCATATATGTTCCCCGATAGATGGGAACCACTTTAAGGGGAACCCAATTGAGAAAACAAATATTTATCTGATGATTATATTTACTGAACAGTGCTCATGGGGAAATGCTGCCTAGAAACACTTCTGAAAGAACGTGCCCAAGAATCCTGCTGGAGTTCTGCAGTAGAATATACTGTATGATAGCAAGTTGCTTTATTCTGAGTCAAGCTATTGGTGTCTCTAATCTACTCGGGAGTAGCTCTGCTGGAATCCAGGCTGAAGTTTCTTCTGGACCTACATGGAGATATTAGGGACTGGACCCTGCATTCAAACATGTCCTCTTTCACTGAATTATGGGCCTCCTCATTATTGGAAGTCTGTGGGGCACCTTATGAAAAGGTAAACAATTCAAAAACCACCGCTTTACAGAGTTGTCCCTCTTGCCATCTCAGAGAAAGCATCTGCCTGCCAAAAACAATTTCATTTGTGCGCTTATTAGAAATACAGAAGTTGGTTGGTTGGTTCGTTCAATCAATCAATCAATCAATCAATCAATCAATCAATCAATCAATCCGTCTGCAGTTATAGGGAGGAGGCACTGCTTTCAGATTTATACTGTCTATCCAGCCGAAAGGATAAACTTTCATGAACCTTTAAAATCCCTCTACTGACCTGTCATGGTGTGAACTGAGAGAGGCCCAAGATGCCTGTAGCCAGAAACTCCAAATAGGTCAAATTCATATATCTGTGAAGGTGTGAGGTTGTAGAGGTGGAGGGAGCGCATGGCTCCGTCAACAGGTACTGTCTGGGGGTTGCCTGCAGCATCCTTGTACTGAATGATGAAAGAGTCAAAGCTTCCTTCTTGAACGCTCCAGGAGAGGAGAAGAGAATCAGGGGTGACCTCAGAGACAGTGACATCTCCAAGGCTGGGCTGAACGCTCTTGCCTGCAGTTTCCTCTGGTTGTTTCTTTTCTTCAACCTGTCCAGATGTTTCTGCAGCTGCAAAAATAAAAGAGGAAGATGATGGAGGATCCTAAGGCATAACTTCCAGGAAGAAATTTGACATTTGAGCCTGAAGGCAGAGCAGTGGTGATTCTTGTAAGATTTCAAATGTTTGCCTTTTATTAACATGCAGGTATCAGTCAAATATCTCTTGACTGAGATACTCCTTCAGTGAAGGACTCTCCATGGGCCACCATAAGTGAAATGAAATTTTGTTTCCTTTAAGCAATCCAAAGTCTATGCCAAGAAAAAATAGATTCTGTGATTTTCATGCATTATGCACTTAAAAGAAATATGCATCGTTTCTCTTATTTTGTTTAATTGATTTTGCATTTTGATTCATCTATTCCAGTTTTGTAAGTCAAGCAGAAGATCCTCACAGGTTTCAGAAAATTCAGGAGGTACTGATTGTTTTTCACTTTCAGACATACAGTATCCTTGTGATTCCAGTAATAAAGGTTGATTCTGTTATTAGTTTTAAAAACAAAATCCTATTCCCTCTGTTCAAAGGACATCTTAGCCAGCTTTCTGGCTTCGAAATATCCTGAGCTATTAGCAACCAAGTTTGTTTTGAGTGGCATTCTACCTAGGCACCTTGGACCTACATTACAAAAATTCAAACCAAGCCTGAATAAATGTCGAATCTTGATTAAACCTATTTCAAGGTACTAATTGCAGAGTTAAAAGAAAGAAGTTCCATCTTTATTGCATTACTCCCAGAGCAAAAAGAACCAGTTTTCAGTAGTTTTTCAGGGCAATTATTTTGCGGTTTGTTGAAAGGAGATTAATACTTCAATCAAGAGGTACTAGATTTCTGACCTGGCCAGTCATAACATCTGTCAACCTCGCCCTATATTTCACACCATATGGTCTAGAAACTTGTTTCTATTTTCGTTATTACAGCACTGACCAAAGATAACTGATGTGGTTATCAATTATTATAACCATTATAATTAATTGTTCAGGTTAAAAATGCAGCTCATTATTTTCAAGGAAGGAAAGCCACTTTTGTGTCAAAAAGATACAAATGCAATACACATACTTGTATTGTATGTGTAACCAGTTAAAACAAAATAACCAAGTTTCAGCTCACAAGGACCAGAAACTTGTGTTTCTTTTAAAACGAATGCCAATAATCTGAGAAGACAATGGTGTCTCACTGGTGAATTCTGTACCTGTAAGCGTGTTCTCCCTTATTTCTGTAACTCTGTGTTGCACACTGAACTCTGCCTATTTTAAAAGAAATGGTCAAAGAAGAAAGACAGAAGAGAACAAGAGACAGACGATAATCATGGGACACACTGGGCCTTCCCGAGTGTTTCACAGATAATGACCTAAAAACTAATGAAGGCTGGAATCCAAGTGTAGCCAGGGTCAGACCAATTGTATCTGTCCACCTGTTTTTTCCAGGGGTTGTTGCTAACCTGTTGTCACCGCATGGGCGGAGATTGGTCCGAGACGCTGCTTTTCAAAGATACCATAAAGATTGAACTTGTATTTGTGGGAAGGTGATAGATTGGAAATGATGACCTCACGGGACTCTCCTCTTAAAGGAAGCATCTGGGGTCTTCCCTCAGCATCTTTGTACTGGACTGAGAAAGAATCAAAGTTTCCCACTGGGACACTCCATGATAGATGGGCTGAATTACTGGTGACCTCTGGGACCGAGAGCACACCGAGACGGGGGTTCACTCCAGCCGTGACCTCCTGGTCCACCTCTCCAGGCACTTTTTGCAGCTTCTCATCGTCTGCTGTTGGTAGAGAGGAAAGAAACATGATTGAGTGAGTGGGACAGTGAAAGGCCGATGCTGAGATACTATTCACCTTATTCTTCTTTTCAGAGATCAAGTTCACATCATGAGCTTCCCAAGTCTGGAGTCCTCTAAACAAGTTTGACTACATCACCCAGAATTCCCAACCAGCACAAGCTTGGGAAAAAAGTGATATATTGTGAGGATCCTGTATTTTCCAGCAATGAAACAGCTAGAAATTCATAAGCTGGTTTATTTATGGCCATTTTGGCTCTCCACTGGGACATTTAGCCTTTATTTCTTCAGACACGTCAAAAATTGCATTAGATGGGAGACACCTGGTTCCTTCTTAAAAATAGATCTGAAATCAAAGTTCTAAGGAAGGGCTATTTGGAACAGAAACATAGTACAAAGAGAAATAAGGAAAGAAAAGTTGCGAAGAGAAGAATTCCATTGTTTAAAACTTCTACAGACCTGTGACGGTACTGACAGTGATGGGTCCAAAACGTCTGCGTCCAGAGATGCCATACAGATCGAACTTGTATTGATGGGAAGGTACCAGATAATAGATCACAATGGTGTTGGTCTCCTTGTCCACAGGCACCAACTGTGGTTTGTTTTCAGTATCTTTGTATTGGATCTGGAAGGAGTCAAAGATCCCAGCAGGCACATTCCAAGAGAGGCGGACAGAGTTGCTGGTGACATCAGACACAGAGAGCTCCCCGAGATTGGGATTTGGGGTTGGCCCTGGAGATCCATTCTCCTCTTTGTCCTGACTTGGAGATAGTGGAGCTGTAAAAAAGGAAGAGTGAAAAAAATGAGGGTTAGGGGAAAGATAATTGCAGAGCGAAACCTAGGCTGCGGAACCTTCTAGACCAGGGTTCCTCAACCTCAACAACTTTAAGATGGGTGGACTTCAACTCCCAGAATTCCTCAGCCAGCCATCTAAGTTGGGTGGAGATGAAGTCCACCCATCTTAAAGTTGCTGAGGTTGAGGAACCCTGGTCTAGATGACACCTTTATTCACCCTGATTGAAAATAGACTTGGTGTACCGCAACCATCTACCAAATGCGTTGTGCCTGGGTGGACGTTGGCCTCACTTAAAGTAATCTTTTGGACAAAAAAGAAGAGGAATGGATCATCAACAGATCGGGGAGGGAAAGGGAAGTTTCCAACTCACAATGATTCTTTCCTGAGAGAGAAGAGGTATGATGAACACCACCCAGAGTCACCTTGTGTGAGGTGGCAGCCATATAAATTTGATAAATAAATAAAATAAATAAATGATGATTTATATTCTGCCTTCATTTTGTACAATTCCAGGTGGTGTGCACAATGCTCCCACCTCCTTTTCTCCCACAACAACAACCCTGTGAGGTGGGTTGGGCTGGCCTGCCAGCTTCCAAGCCTAAGGGAGGACTAGAACTCACCATCTCACTGTTTCTAGTCCATCTCCTTTGCCAGTTACACCAACCTGGCTCCAAAATTTGCCGAAAGGAGAAAACCAGGATATCAGAAGCAGAAAGAGTGAACGCTCCAGAGGGTTTGGGCTGTCAGTAACCACCTGATAATGCACTTGGCATTGCCAGCTTTCTGGGGCAGCCATAATTTAGATTTTTAAAAAGGAATCACAATGCAGTATCACTCCCCACAAAGTGGACGTTTTTAGAAAGTGGGTTGAAAGGTATTAAAAGAACCTCTCTTGCTGACCTGTGATGGCGTCAACAGAAACTGGGCCAAAACGCTTGCGACCAGAGATGCCGTAGAGATTAAACTTATATCTGCGGGCAGGAACCAGGTTGGGGAGGATGACTTCATACGCGTTCCCTTCCACAGGTACGGCCTGGGGCTTGCCATCCACATCCTTGTACTGGATCACAAAAGAGTCAAAGTTCCCAGTATGGACAGTCCACGAGAGAAGTGCCGAATTATGGGTGATGTTGGAAACAGAAAGCTCTCCCAAGCTAGGCTGAACCGGTGGCGTTGTGGCTAATGGGGCTGAAAAAGAGAGAAGGAACAAAGAAAGGTAAGAATACAAATGAATGGAAGAATTCATGGAAAAGAAGTATTCAGTGGCTATTACTAGATATGATAGTGACATGAGACCTCTGGGCTCTGATTGCCACTGGCTGGAAAATTAAGAATATGGCAAGTTATTTTATGGACAACCATTATCTGGAACAGAAGAGCAATAATAAACTCCACACTAAAGAAAGGGGAAATGTGCCAGATACGTAGATGCCAAGTAACTCATTCTCTGGAAGCTCAGCTTGAAATGGAAAACGTAACGTCATCGATATACACATACTGTTTGCTTAGAATAAGTGAGGCTTCATAACCTGTCTCAGTGGAGATGGGGCCTACTGTAGATGCTTCTTCCCTGAGACACCACAGAGAGTGATCAGGTCATCTGCGAGCGGGAGGCAAGTCATGGAAATGGAGAGAGCAAAAGCTTGAATAGACAGGTAGTCCTCACTTAACAATGGTGATTGGGACTGGAATTTCCATTGCTAAGCAATGTGGTTGTAAAGTGCAAAGTCACATGACTATGCTGCTTAGCAACGAAAATTCTGGCACTTCCAGTTGCTGTTGTTAAGCGAATCATGACAGGTCATTAAGCGAGGATATCACCTGGTCGTCATTTGTGACCTCCTACTGGCTTCCCCACTGACTTTGCTTGTAAGAAGGCTGCAAAGAAGCTTGCAAATGGTGATCGTGTGACCGTGGGAACCTGCGATGTCATAACTGCGAGGACCAATCATAAGTACCACTCCTTCAGTGCTATCGTAAGTTCAAATGGTCACTGAATGAGTGGTCGTTAAGTCAGGACCACCTGTATAAGGAGGGCTTCAGATTTATCCTGCACATCATGGTACTGCAGGATGACAAAGTCAACATTCCAGGAGAGATCAAGAGAATTTTGCATGGCGTGATTAGCTGTCAGCATCCTCGGCCTGAGCGGTAGAGGAGGTGTTTCCATCTGTGGGGCTGGAACAGAGAGGACCAGGAAGTTAATCATGATCTGGAGAGAGCTTTGCTAGGTGCCACTCAGCACCTATTCTACTCCTTCTTGAGGAACAAGAGCTCCCAGGCTTGGGCAGACAGGAGACAGGTCCCTTTCCTCTTCTGGGACAAATAGGTTTAAAAAATGACAGTCACTGTACCTGATAGGGATGGCTTAGGTTTGTAATTCCTAAACAATATATAAAATTAAAAGGAATGAAGCAGGAATAGCTTTAGGTAAGAGGGGAAAAGATCCCCTTTTAAAAAACTTTTTTGCTGTGTGAAGTCTGTGCTACAAATATCACCACAAACTCAATGTCTGCCAGTATCTCTATGTCAGAAAAAGCTAAGATCACTCTGTGTACATGTGTGTGAAAAAATACCATAAATCAGCAAGAAATGGACAAAGAATTTTAAAAGTCCATGTTGCAGTTACATGTACAGGAGCTACTGTAAAAACAAATCAATATGTGTTAGATGAAAGCTTCTTGTACCAATGCTGTCTCTAGTGAAAATCAAGAAAATAAAAAGGAGGAATTTCCCCCTTAGGAAATTAAAGTTACAGTTCAAGATCTGAGAAGCTCCCAGCCATGCTAACGCCTGAAGCTGACCTGTGGTGGCATCTGTGGAGAGGGGGTTGGACCGTTTGCGCCCAGAGACTCCATAGAGGTTGAACTTGTATCTGCGGGAAGGAGCCAGGTTGGTCACAGTGATGTCACGGGAGCCTCCCTCCATGGGCAACGCTTGGGGTTGGCCATCTGCATCCTTGTACTGGACCAGGAAGGAGTCAAAGCTCC